CACACCTCTCAATACTGCCACATTGGGGCTATTAAAACCATAGTAGAGAGTAAAAGATTATTTAAGCCATGTACCAGAATGTTAATAAAAGACGGAGCATCCTAAGTCCGAAAATCTGAAGTCCTTTAAAATCTGAAACTGACTTGATGCCCACAGTAAAGTGCTCATTGGAGCATTTTGGATTTTGGGTTTTTGGATTAGAGATGCTCAGCCAGTATGTACAATGCAAATATTTCAAAATCTGAAAAAATCTAGAACTGGAAACACTTCTGGTTCCAAACATTTCCAATAGGGTACTCAACCTGTAGCACTATTCGTAACAGTAAAACCCTAAAAAACAACTCCAATCAGGATATACAGAAGTCAAAGTAAATGAAAAATGAATAAAAGTAGGCTACAACCTGGATGAACTTTGACCATGCTAAGTGAAATAAGCCAGACATAAAAAGGACAAATATTGTATAATTTTACCTATATGAGGTACCTAGACTGGGCAAATTCATAGAGACAAAAAGTAGAATGGTGGTTACGAGGTGCTAGAGAGGGAGCTAATGGGGGAACTATGTAATGAGTACAGAGCTTCAGTTTGGGATGATGAGAAAGTTCTGGATGGAGATGGTTGGTGGTGATGGTTGTATAACATTAGGAATATACTTAGTGTCACTGAATTGAACACTTAGAAATGGGTAGAATGAGTTGGGTATAGGGGTTCACGCCCATAATCCTAGGACTTTGGGAGGCCAAGGTGGGAGATTGTTTGAGGCCATGAGTTTGAGACCAGCCTGAGCAGTATAGTGAGACTGTCTACACACACACAGTAGCTAAAGTGTGCTGGTGCCCCCCCCCAAACACATTAGCTAAAGTGTGCTGGTGCCAACCTGTAGTCCTAGCCACTTGGGAGGCTGAGCCAGGAGTTGAGTAGTTTCGCCTAGGAGTTCGAGGTTACAATGAGCCTGGGCAACAGAGTGAGACCTTGTCTCTTAAAAAAAAGTTAAAATTAACTTTTAGTATGTGTAGTTTACCATGATAACAAAAATCTACAAAAAATGAATTTTGATGTGACAGTAGGAATTAATCTATTTTAGTGGAACAGAATCTCCCAAATTACATGCAACATCACTGCTTTTTTTTTTTTTAAGAGCAACTAAACCAAAAATACTTTTTAGGACTCCATTTTGATCAGTAAAACGTATAAAAAGGAAAGCAAGGGAAATGAAAACAATAGGAATCAGGATGATTATTGCAGGAAGGCAGCAGAATGGGATGGGGTATGTTATGGTTAAATATAGGTTATTGTCAGACGTCCTCGTTGGTGGATGATGATTGCATTATTAAAAATAAGGCCAGGTGTGGTGGCTCACACCTGTAACTCCCAACACTTGGGTTAAGAGGATCACTTAAGGCCGGGAGTTTGAGACTATTCTGGGCAACATAGCAAAACCGTGTCTCTACAAAAAATGAAAAAAATTAGCCAGGTGTGGTATCGCATGCCTGTAGTCTCAGATAATCAGGAAACTGAAGTAGAAGGAGTGTTTGAGCCCAGGAGGTTGAGGTGGCAGTGAGCTATGTTTGTGCCACTGTACTCCAGCACAATGCCCTGTCTCAAGTTATGAAAAGATAAACATAAGTAAAATGGGCCATGTGTGGATGAACAGAGTATGTCTTGAATAAAAGAGATTAATTCTATGCACTTGAGGTCTAATGGGGAAAAAATGCTGCTAAATGGGGATGTTAGTGCTTGTCTGAGTTTGAAATCTCGACTCCAGTAGTTTACTCATTGGGTGATCTTGGACGAATAACTTATGTTTCTTTTTCCTGATCTATAAAATAAGGATAATATCTACATAGTAGGGCTATTTCAGTATTAAATGGGTTTATATGTATGCCTGGTACATAGTATGCTTGATGAGTCTTTACTATTTGTTTCAATTATTTAATGCTGTGGAATAAACCACCCCAAAACTTAGTGAGTTGAAACAGTCATTTTTCATTCAGTGGAGTGACGGGTTGAGTTGGATAGTTTTGGTGATCTTGTGGTTTGTCATGCAGCTGTAAGTCAGGTGGCAGCTGGGGCTGGAATGTGTGTGGTGGTTTGTTGTGTTTTCTTTCTTTACTTTTTTTGGACACCTCAAGACCATTGAATGACTGCTTTGTTGTAGTCAGGTGGCAACTGGGGCTGAAAGATGTGTGGTGCTTTGGAGGATACAGCTAAGAGTCGGGCTCAGTTGGGCAACTGCATCTCCCTCTCCTTGTAGCCTTTTTGTGTGGTCTCCAGTAGGGTAGCCAGATTTTGGGCATCTCCAAAAGTAAAAAACAACCTGCCAGGCCTGGAATTGTCACATTATCACCTGCTGCATTCTATTAAGTCATAGAGCCAGTTAGGGAGCCTGGTTCATTGGGAGCCATTTTTGGAAACTGGACATTATTATTAATGTTTCCATCTACCATGTTGCTTTACCACATATATAGTTTAGACACTGGGAATGTATAAATAAACATAGTTACAAATTCCTGCCCACTTGGAGCTTATGTTTTACATAATAAATAATTAAAATATATAGTGTTTTTGGTTGGTAGGGAAAAATAAAGCAGGGAAGGAGATAAAGCACAGAAGTGGTTGGGAGTTTTAGTTTTAAAAATGACTGTTCACGTGAGGCCTCACTGACAAACTGTCATCTGAGCAGAGACAAAAAGGAGGGATAAGAACTAGAGGGCAGGCTGGGAATGGCAGCCTATGCCTATAATCCCAAGGATTATAGCACTTTGGCTGAAGGAGGAGCCCAGGAATTTGAGACCAGCCAGGGCAGCATAGCAAGACCCTGTCTCTACAAAAAAATTAATTAGCTGGGCATGGTGGCTTGTACCTAAAGTCCCAGCTGCTTGGGTGGCTGAGGTGGGAGGATTGCTGGAGCCCAGGAGGTTGAGAGGCTGCAGTGAACCATGACTGTGCCGCTGCACTCCAGCCTGGGTGACAGAGACCCCATCTCTAAAAGAAGAAAGTGAATGAGGAAGTAGGTGATGAGATCAACAGCCACCCATTAAAAGCCAGCTTTAAAATTACTTTTTTTCTTTTGGGCATAAAGCTTTTAAATTTTAAATTGTTCTTGTTTCCTATTTGACTTCCTATTTAGTAGCAAAGGAGGTAATGGGAGAGGGAGGAATTTATATTTTGTTACCGCTCTAAGCCTTTTTAGAAGCATGAGGGATCTTGTTTTATTCAGCCAGTGTATTGATTGTCTTTTTTTTTTTTTTTTTTTTTTTGAGAGGGATTTTCCCTCTTGTCACCCAGGCTGGAGTGCAATGGCATGATCTCAGCTCACTGCAACCTCTGTCTCTCTGGTTCAAGCCATTCTCCTGCCTCAGCCTCCCGAGTAGCTGGGATTACAGGCATGTGTGCCCCACGCCCAGCTAAATTTCGTAGTTTTAGTAGAGACAGGGTTTCACCATGTTGGCCAGGCTGATTTTGAATTCTTGACCCCAGGTGATCCACCCTCCTCGGCCTCCCAAAGTGCTGGGATTACAGGCATGAGCCACTGAGCCTGGCTGATTGTCTTAAAAATTTTTTTAATTTTTTTGGAGACAGGTTATCGCTCTGTTGCCCAGGCTGGAGTGCAGTGGCAGGACTTGGCTCACTGAAATCTCCACCTTGACAGTTCAAGCAATTCTCATGCCTCAGCCTCCTGAGTAGCTGGGATTATAGGCACATGTCACACCCAGCTAGTTTTTGTATTTTTAGTAGAGACAGGGATTCACCGTGTTGCCCGGGCTAGTCTCAAACTCCTGACCTCAGGTGATCTGCTTGTCTTAGCCTCCCAAAGTGTTAGGATTACAGTTGTGAGCCACTGCACCTGGCTATTGATTGTCTTTCTAGGATTCTTTTATCCTTTCCCTGATGTGGCTTATTATTCATCAATTTTAATAATTGTTGCCTTTTTGTTAGAAAAACAGTAATGAAGGTTAACTCAAGCAAGTTTATTTGAAAATCTGTTTTCCGGCCAGGTGCAGTGGCTCATGCCTGTAATCCCAGTACTTTGGGAGGCGGAGGTGGGTGGATCACAAGGTCAACAATTTGAGACCAGCCTGCCTAAAGTGGTAAAATCCCATCTTTACTAAAAATACAAAACTTAGCAGGGTGTGGCGGCATGCGCCAGCTACTCAGTAGACTGAGGCAGGAGAATCTCTTGAACCTGGGAAGCAGAGGTTGAAGTCAGCAGAGATCGAGCCACTGCACTTCAGCCTGGGTGACAGAGCGAGGCCTCATTGACAAACTGTCAAACTCCCAAAAAAAAAAAAAAATTAAAAAATTAAGAAATCTATTTTTTTCTCTGTAGCTTTTTTTTTTTTTAAAAGATGGGTGACAGATTTTCATTAACCTTTACTCTATATTTCAGTTCATGCTACATCTTTTCCTTGATGCTATGTGTCCATCTTGGTTTAACCCATTTTGTAGATTTATAATTGCCATCTTTTTGGGGTTGATACATTTAAAAGCTGTTTTTACTGGAACTGGAAGTGTTGACTTTTAGTTTACTGTGGTCCTCTGTCAAGACATGTTCCAACATGTTTTAGAGGTTTTCCTACAAGTCTTGTTGGAATCTTAAACCTATGACTCACCTTGGTAAATCCTCAGTCCTGCATCTAGAGAGGGCTCTGCCTGATAACCATTGGGAAGATAAGGATTTGACTTTCAGCTAAAACAGTTTACTCATTAACATCAGCGAGGAGGTTGAAGCATCCCTGAAACTGTTTCTGTTTCAGGCTTCACCTGACAGAAGCATGGACGGTTCTTATACTTAATTAAATTCTTCAGTTTGGCAGGATCTGAACTAGGAAGTTGGCGGAAGATAAGCAGAACCTCAGCAAGGGTATACAGCATTTGGGTAGGGTGCTCCATTTTATGTGTCATTTGTTTTTTACTTCTGCTGGTTGCCTTTCTGTGAATGCTAAATAGGGAATTTTCTGTGTTAGAATCGATTTTATAAAGTTTTTTTTCTATTTAGTTTTACCAACAGACTGCAGTTTCTTCACTGCCAAAATGACGTCATTTTCCACCTCTGCCCAGTGTTCAACATCTGACAGTGCTTGTAGGATCTCTCCTGGACAAACCAATCAGGTAAATCATTTTGGGTGTTTATAGTTTTTCGGGTTTTTTTTTTTTTTTTTTAAGGTTTAACTGGCTCATGACTGTAATCCCAGCACTTTGAGAAGTTGAGGCAGGAAGCTCACTTCAAGCCAGGTGTTTGAGACCAACCTTGGCAACATAGTGAGGCCCCTGTCTCTACAGAAAATGTCTAAAAAAAATAAATTAGCTGGGTGCAGTGGGGTATGCCTTTAGTTCTAGCTACTTGGGAGGCTGAGGCAGGAGGATCACTTGAACCCTGGAGTTTGAAGCTGCAGTGAATTACAATCACAACTACTATACCCAAGATTGGGCAAGAGAGTAAGACCTTGTCTCTTTTTAAAAAATAGGGGGGATGTGGGAGTGTTGCTTGGTGAGGTGGCTTATGCCTGTGTTCCCAGCACTTTGGGAAGCTGAGGTAGGCAGGTCTCTTGAGCCCAGGGGTTTGAGACCAGCCAGAGAAACATGGTGAAACCCCCTATCTACAAAAAAATAGAAAAATTACCCAGTATGGTGGTGTGCATCTGTAGTCACAGCTACTCTGAAGGCTGAAGTTGAGCCGGAGAGATAGAGGCTGCAGTGACCTGTGATCACACCACTGCACTGCAGCCTGGGCAACAGAGTAAGACTTTGTCTCAAAAAAAAAAAAAAAAAAAAAAAAGCAGGGGAAGCTGTTTAAAGAGGTTCTTTTGTTCCATAGTTTCAGAAACCTACTTGAAATGTAAATAGCACATTTATTTTATGTTTACATCAGGTACGACCAAAACTGCCACTTTTGAAGATTTTGCATGCAGCAGGTGCACATGGTGAAATATTCACTGTTAAAGAGGTAAGCCATAAAATTCTCAGTTTTAAGAATAGTTGGCCAGGCATGGTGGCTCACACCTGTAATCCCAGCACTTTGAGAGGCTGAGGTGGGTAGATCACGAGGTCAGGAAATCGAGACCATCTTGTCTAACATGGCAAAACTCCATCTCTATTAAAAATACGAAAAATGAGCTGGTGTGGTGGCACACTCCTGTAATCCCAGTTACTCACGAGGCTGAGGCAGGAGCATTGCTTGAACCCGGGAGGCGGAGGTTGCAGTGAGTAGAGATAGTGCCATTGCACTCCAGCCTGGTGATAGAGCAAGACTCCGTCTCAAAAAAAAAAGGAACAGTTGAGAAATACAAGCCAGTGAATGAGTAATTTTGAAATCAGGCCTCAGTTCTACTCCTGAGGTATCAGAGAGGCAACTTTTACTCTGTTTTAAAGACTGTGAAGTTGAACATCATATTTCCTTTCTTTTGAAGCTTATTGTAAGATAAACATAAGATGAACCATGAATTCACTGAGTTAAAATGCAGAGCAAGTAAGGATTAAAAAGACACTTTTTGGGCCTGGTACTGTGGCTCACACTTGTAATCCCAGTATTTTGGGAGGCTGAGGTGGATGGATTGCTTGAGCCGAGGATTTTGAGACCAGACTGGGCAACATGATGAAACCTCATCTCTACAAAAAATACAAAAATTCATAAGCCAGGTTGAGTGGAGCATACCTGTAGTCCCAGCTACTCAGAAGGCTGAGGTGGCAGGATTGCTTGAGCACAGGAGTTTGAAGCTACAATGAATTATGATGGCAACCACTGCACCACAGGCTGGGCAAGAGAGTGAGACCCTCTCTCTTAAAAACAAAAACCAGAAACTTAGTTGGGAGGGAAAAAAAAACCCAGGGGTGGGCCACTGGGCATGGTGGCTCATACCTGTAATCCCAGCACTTTGAAAGTGTGAGGTGGGTAGATCACTTGAGCCCAGGAATTTCAGAGCAGCCTGGGCAAAATGGTGAAACCCTGTCTCTAAAATAATACGAAAATTGGGTAGGCGTGGTGGTATACTCCTGTAGTCCCAGCATCTACTTGGGAGGCTGAGGTGGGAGGATCGCTTGAACCTGGAAGGCGAAGGTTGCAGTGATGGGCACTCCAGCTTGGTTGACAGATGAGACCCTGTCTCAAAAAAAGGACACTTGGATGTATAGGCTGTATTTCGAGGCAGGAATTAAATGCAGCAGTTTTCATTATTTTTTGTTCTTTTTTTTTTTTTTTTGAGACAGTCTCCCTCTGGCACCAGGCTGGACTGCAGTGGCACCATCTTGGCTCACTGCAACCTTCACCTTCCGGGTTCAAGCAGTTCTGCCTCAGCCTCCCCAGTAGCTGGGACTACAGGCAGGTGCCAGCTAATTTTTGTATTTTTTACTGATAGAGATGGGGTTTCACCAAGTTGGCCAGGATGGCCTCAGATCTCTTGACCTTGTGATCTGCTCCCCTTGGCCTCCCAAAGTGCTGGGATTACAGGTGTGAGCCACCGCGCCTGGCCAGTTTTTATTATAAATGTGTCAAATACTCTTCTGAGCACTGTCAATTATTGTAAACATTTATAATATCTTATTTAGCTTCTGATTTTTTAAAAAAACAAAAAGGAATTGTATTCTTTGAGTGGAAAAGACTCAGCATTAAAATGTTAGTCTGTTGCTTTCATTTGGTAGGGTAGATAGCTAACCCTAAAGAGAAGAAACAAAATTATCAGGCTTTTTTTTTAAACTTAAAACCTTCATACCTATCAACACTGCCACACTCCAAAACCATTGCACCTCTCAAGGAAACAAATCTGGAGGCATTTCTGGTTTTTTAGAATACCTGTATTTTATGATTTTAAATTAAGTGCATTGTTTTGGACTATAGCTCTAAAAATGTTGACACATATCACCTTTTTTTCCAAATTGTTATTAAAGTCTGGATTTTTGTTTGTTTTTTTGAGTTTGATCCTTTTATTGAAGCTTACAATTTCACTGGACTTTTGGCCCCAAATGAAAAAAAATGCAAACTAAAAAGAGTATTGTATTGGCAGGGAGAGGTGACCACTGTCCCCTGGAATCCGAAGCCAAGCAGAGCCTGGCAGGCAAGTGAGGGGTCTCAGCTGCGGAGGGCAGTAGCCTGGCCAAAGATGCCTGGGGAGCAGATTTGGCTGAGCTCCCTGAGCAGGGACAGCCCCAGTCAGCTAGAAGTTAACACACAAGGATTTATGGGTTTGGTGGAATCCAAGCCACTGGTCCCATGGTCTCTCATGCTTGGTCATATTTCACTTAGGAGAAAATGGGTTCATGTGACAGGATGGCCTGGTGAAGGAACACAGGTGCTAACAGTAACAGGCCAATGAACACTCGCCACTGGCATCAGGGTGGAGCTCAACTGACTGGACACTAACTCCATTACAAGGACCAGTATCTCCTGCTTCTGGTGCCAGGCTATGCCACTCAACTGCTCATGGCCATCAGGACATTCAACTTCTATCCTTTCCTCCATCAGGACCCTACCTGAGACCTGTGTGGCCTAGCCCTGGTCCTTACTATTTGGTGGCTATGATGCAAGACTCTCAATCCTGTTTTAGAATGGTGTTGCATCAAGCAAGGGAGAATGTTCTTCTTGACAAGAACATCTAGAGGGACAGGGAAAGATGAGAGGTACACATGCTTCTCACTCTAAGAAGCCAGGAAAGGTCCCTGGTGCATTCTCCACAGATGGATTGGGTCATAGCATCCAAGAAGCTGTTATGGTGACAAAGTTCTGGAAGCTGAGCTGGGTGTTGCCTTGTGTAGCTGTGTCCTTCTACCGAAAGGCCTTCATCAGCACCTGGAGCTGAGTGCACACCTGGATAAAGCAGTCAAGCTGCATGGGAGGATTGGCAGAGTGTGAGCAGTAGCAGGAGACCAGAAGCTGGGTAAACTGGGGTTGTAGTCCATTTGGGACAGAGCTTGCTGCAGCTCTGTAGCTAATGGAGCCTGAGTGGTCCCTGTTATACTGCTGGAAGAGTGTCTTCCACTGCTGGATGAATTTCCACAGGGTTGAGAAGCCATAGACATTGATGCAGCCAGACTTGGTCTCGTCAAAAATGTTTATCATCATAAGGCAGGTCTCATCATTAAACGAGGATCAATTGAAGTTGACCAGGGCCTGCTTCACCTCCTTTATGGAGAGAGCCACTGTGATTGGACTCCACTGACTGGAACCGGGAGCAGGCCTTAGGATCCACATTGGGAGGGGCGCCACCCTGTCCCTAAGACCCAAGCTTCTGGGCACCATAGGAATTGGGAGGTGGCTGACCATAGGGGCCCCCTGGAGCTACACTGCCATATGGTCCTCCTGGAGTTCCAGAGGGAAACATCCCAGGATTGGGTTGTCCACAGGGCCCTCCAGCTGGTGGTCCACAGGGCCCTCCAGCTGGTGGTCCATAAGGCCCTCCAGGGGCAGGACTCCCATAACAACCACCAGGGGGTAGCCTGCTGCCATACCGCCCTCCACTATTTGGGGGGTCCAGGGTAGCAGCTACCCGGAGGTGCTCCTGGTACTTGTCCTGCAGCTCTTGGGCAGCCCTGCCCTTACAGATAGCTGGCCATGGCTATTCTGGCATCATATGCAGGCAAGGAGTAAACTCTGGATTTTTATATCATAGTGATTATGATGAATGATGCCATCTCCTTCATTTAGCATGGCAGAGTTGGCCTGAGTTTACATGATAAGCTTTCTGTTGTGAACATTGACTCTAGCTATTGCATAAAAGAAATTTCCTGATTTTTGTTATTTATTTATTATTTTTGAGACAAAGTGTTGCTCTGTCACCCAGGCTGGAGTGCAGTGGTGCGATCTGGGCTCACTGCAATCTCTGCCTCCCAGGTTCAAGTGATTCTCCTGCCTCAGCCTCCCGAGTAGCTGGGATTACAGGCATGTGCCACCATGCCCGGCTAATTTTTGTATTTTTAGCAAGGGCAGGGTTTCACCATCTTAGCCAGGCTGATCTCGAACTCCTGACTTCAGGTGATCTGCCCACCTCAGCCTCCCAAAGTGCTGGGATTACAGTCATGAGACACCATGTCCGGCCTATTTATTTTTTTGAGCCAGGGTCTTGTTACTCTGTCACCCGGGCTGGAGTGCAATGGTTGTATCTCAGCTCACTGCAACCTCCACTTTTCAGGTTCAAGTGGTCCACCTGCCTCAGCCTTCCTAGTAGCTGGGACTATGGGCATGCCTCACCATGCCTGGCTAAGTTTTGTATTTTTTGTAGAGACAGGGATTTGCCATGTTGCCCAGACTGGTATCAAATTCCTGGGTTCAAGCAGTTTGCCTGCCGTGGCCTCCCAAAGTGCTGGGATTATAGGTGTGAATCACCTCATCCAGACTACTAAATTTGTATTTAATAAACACTTGGATTTTATGTTTCATTCACTTACAGTGCTGATGGCTTATAAACATTGTACGTCATTTGCCAGAAATAATTATTATGTGAACATACATCAGAAGCCTAAAGTCTTTTTTTATGTGCCCTGGACTAGGAAAATAGTTTTATATCCAGGCAAATTTAAAGTTTATTACTTCTGATAATAGCATGGGCTTCTTTATTTGGATGTTTGAGAAAATTTTTAAGAGGATACTAGGTAAATTCACTGCTTTTTCTCATTGTCAGATAGTTAATTTCTGTGCTGTCAGGTAGTTAATTTCTGTGCTAAAATGGTTGAGTCTGTTAATTGTCAGAAAGACCAGGAGTAAATGGACCTAGTAGTTGGGAGCAACTTTCCTGTTGTAGGACCCCTTGCACAAACATTGACAGTCTTGTAAATATGTTATCTCTTTCTTTAGCAAACTAACTTACCTTACCTCCTCTAATGAGTTGGTGTTTTTGGCAGTAGCTGGACAGATCACAACATGGTATTTTATTTCATGCAGGTCATGCACTATTTAGGTCAGTACATAATGGTGAAGCAGCTTTATGATCAGCAGGAACAGCATATGGTATATTGCGGTGGAGATCTTTTGGGAGAACTACTGGGATGTCAGAGCTTCTCCGTGAAAGACCCAAGGTAAAAAGTGTGAGGGTTTGCGTATCTTTTTGGGTGCTTACACCTAGCCACTTAATTTCTATAGGTTTATTACTTTGCTCAACAAATATGTAAGGGCCTACATATGTTAGATAGCCTAGGAAGTAGCCAGAATATGGTAATGAGCAGCCCACAGTCTGATTTTATGAAGTGGATAATTTGATAATCAAATTATCATACCAATTCATGGTAAACCTACACTATGGTAAGTGCTACAGAAGAGAGATACATGAAGCCGAGAGTGGGTGGTATTTAGAGTGTTAGAGGTCAAGGAAAAGTTCTTTTGAGAAAGTGAGATTTGAGCCAAAAGCTGAAAGATAATTGAGTTGATGAGAGGGAATTAGTTGAAAGAGTGTTTGAGGTTGATTTAACAACATGTGTAAAGACCTGGGTAGGACGAAGCTTGATATGACTAGGTTAGAATTTTGTGAAGTAATTGTTAGAGAGAGGAAGAGTGAGCAGATGAGAAAAATGTAGAATTGCTGGGCAGTTAGGGATTGATGATGAGCCTGGTAAGAATCATGATGGGGCTAATCTGACTTGTTACTTTTCTCCAGCTGCATGGGGTGTAAGTCATTAGCTTATACAGTCAAAAGCTAATTGGTAATTTAGAGGCTAGTGTTCTCTTTCTGTTTAGCTTTGATGACTGTTGCATCTGAGCTCATTCTGTCTTACATTAAGACTTCTCTCCACCCCCACTCTCCAATTAAAATGTGAAACTTAACTCTTGGAAGGAAGGAATAGTTTCCAAAGGAAATCTCCACACTTGGATTACTGTTACCTAATGAAATAAAATGTAAATTAATCAGTTTTTTAAATATTGGCAAAGTAACACAGGGTCCTGGGCATTAACATCTTAATAATTAAATAATTTTTTAAAAATCTGGGAAAAAAATTCTGCCTCTCTGTGCCTTATGGAGAAAGTTGAGAGATAACATCAGAAATACATTTAATATTTAATAGCAAACAACTGATATCTTTATAATGGCATTTGGGGTTGTTAATTTTTTAATCTTATCTCTTTAACAGCCCTCTCTATGATATGCTAAGAAAGAATCTTGTCACTTTAGCCACTGCTACTACAGGTACGTCACATCTGTTTTTTTCAGTCTATATCACAGCTTTGAGTTCAAGGGGGAAATGATGGGAAAGCAACAAAGATGAAGGTGGAAATGGAATGCTATCTTTGGCATGACTGGGAGGAATATATACTACTTGTCACACAGTGTTATTATGTTATTAACTTTTCACTGAAAAGTCAAATGTAAAATAGAGGGATTCCCACTTTCTAGACATACTGTTAACATTTTGTTATATTGCTTCATCTAGACACACTCTTAAAAATCTCTAGCTGATTTTTTTTCATACATTCAATACCATTGTTACACATCACAAATTTAATACATAATTCCGTAATCCTATTTCATAGCCAGTTGATGTATCATTTCCCCCAGTTATCTCAAAAATACCTTGTCTTTTTGGCTTACTTGAATTAAGATCCAAACTCTACACATTGCCTTTGGTTGACATGTCTCATAAGTGTCTTCAGTCTATAAAACTTAACCTTCCTTTTGTTTTCATGTCATTTGCTTGTTGAAGAACTGGGTCATTTGTCCTGTAGAATTTCTCACGTTCTAGAGTTGGCAGGTTGTATCCTTGTGATTTTGTTTAATGTGTTTCTTTACCCCCTCTATTTTTGGTGAACTGGTAGTACTTGAATAAATTCAAGTTTAAATTTTTTGCCAAGACAGCTTTATAGGTGGTGCTTCGTGCTTGTGTTTCTTCATATCAGAGTCATGTAAGGTCTGCCTGTCCATCTTTTAGTCAATTATGTTAACAGTCTTTGAGCTCAGGCGGTATAGTCTCATCGATCAACAGATCGACAGATACAGGTTTCTCAAGAAACTTTCACCTAATGGCTTTAGCCATCTCTTATCTGAATGCCAGTTTGTCCAACCCTTTACTTGATTCTAGACATTCTAAATACTGCTCTTTGAGTCTAATCTATTAGGTATGTATAGGAAACTGGCTGTACTGGAGTCTGAAGTCTCTGAAGTGGTGGTCTCTAAGAGACAGGTAAACTGGATAGACTGAATGTAGCCATTTTCAAATAACGAAATTTTTTCCTTCTCCACTACTACATAAAGCCCTTTTGTGAGCTTCATATTAGATTTTAGGTAACACTGCCCTCTGAAGAAAGCCCAAGTTACTAATCTTTTTAGATTGACCATCTTTTTTTCTTTTGAAACAGGGTCTCTTGTTGCCTAGCCTGGAGTGCAGTGGTACTATCTCAGCTCACTGCAACCTTAACCTCTAGGGCTCGAGTGATTCTCCTACCTCAGCCTCCCAAGTAGCTGGGATTATAGGCACATGCCTGGCTAATTTTTCATATTTTTAGTAGAGATGGGGTTTTGCTGTGTTGCCCAGGCTGATCTTGAGCTCCTGGACTCAAGCATTCCACCTACTTGGGCCTCCTAGAGTCCTGGGATTACAGGTGTGAACCACTGCACTTGGCCAAGATGGGCTATCTTTTGATAATTTACAGAAATAAATAGCTTGAGAAGAATCCATTCCCTATTTTTCTTTTTCTTTTTCTTCTTCTTCTTCTTTTTATTAAATGTAGACAGGGTCTTACTCTGTCTCTCACGTTGAAATGCAGTGGTACAATCATAGTTCACTGCAGTCTACCTCCTGGGCTTAAGTGATCTTCCTGTCTCAGTCTCTCAAATAGCTAGAACTACAGATGCATGGCACTACATTGCACCTGGCTAATTTTGTTTTTTGTTGAAATGGCATCTTCCTGTGTTGCTCAGGCTGGTCTTGAACTCCTGTCCTCAGTGATCCTTCCACTTCAGCCTCCCAAGGTCTTGGGATTACGGCATGAGCCACCAAGCCCAGCCCTAGAATCAATTCCTAATAAAGATTTATTCTTTAAAGGCAGAGAAGGAGACATCGCTGTCATACTGAAACATGATTTTGAACTTACTGAATTTTGAAGCCTGTTGGTCTTATGGACTCATTTGTCCACTTCACATAGCTGTCAATTTGAGAGTGAAGGCCTGCAAATGATATGGCAGCTTTATTAAAATTTAGTCACTTGTAAAATAGCATGACTTTCCTGGGATAGTCACTAAAGATTTGAAATACATGGAGGATTTTATAATTGCTGATCCACTTTTTCAGTAAAATTTGTTTTCGGAATGATATGTTCTTAGAATATCTGTAATTCTCCCTTTTGTACTTTCTTTGCAGAATTTAACATGCCATATAAAGAACATTTTGTTGTTGGGTTGGTTTGGTTTGAAACAGCATTTCTCTGTTGCTCAGGCTGAAGTGCAGTGGCAAGATCTCGGCTCACTGCAACCTCCACCTCTGTGGCACAAGCATTCCTCCCACCTCAGCCTCCCCAGTAGCTGGGACTACAGGAGTACACCACCATATCTGGCTAGTTTTTTTAGTATTTTTTTTTTTTTTGTAGAAACAGGTTTTCACCATGTTGCCTAGGCTGGTCTTGGACTCCAGGACTTAAGCAGTCCCCCTTCGGCCTCCCAAAGTGTTGGGATGACAGGTGTGAGCGACCATGCCTGGCCCATTTTTATTCCTTAATTTGTCATTTTGAAAAAATTTCAGACTTAATAAAGTTGCAAAAGTATCACATAGAGTTTCCCTATATCCTTTCCCCAGATTCTCCAAGTGGTAACATCTTACACAATTATAGTATGATGATCAAAACCAAGAAATTGCCCCAAGTAGTTCTGATTGATTATCTGTTCTGACTTGCAATTGCATTGGTGCTTGTGGCTGGCCATCTCTGTTGATTTTTAAATGAGAGAAGTGCTTTTCATATAATCTATTTTATACCTTTGCAAATATGTTAGACTTTTCATTTTGATGGTTGAAGAAGATGCCATTGTTTAAAATGAAGTTCTTTCTAAATCATTTCTCCAGATTTTTCCAAGTATACTAATGAAATATGATGAACTTTGTGTTTGTAAGGTTTATTGCTGAGTTTAAAATGAGGAAACTGAGGCCAGTATAAGAAAATAAAAATCCAGTTTATTTAGCTCCCGGGCGAGGTTCCATGGTCCCGGGGAAAGGGGTCAAGGAAGTCGCACCAACTTCCTGGGGCATGGGGTTTTTATGGCTAGAAGGAATGAGCAACAGCTGGGTGCTCTGATTAACTCTAGGGGAGTGGGATTAAGATGGTACAGGCTGCTATTGATTTGTTGGGCGGGTTTTCCAATGGGAGAGCCGGCCAGGAGCCTTTCATCAGCTGGAGCCTTCCAGGGGAGCCATGCGGCAGAGCTGAGTGCAGGGCCTGGTGCTGGGTGCAGAGGTGGGTGTGTCCAACCTCCCAGCGAGGCAACCGGCCTTACAGTGTTTGTTTACTTATTTATTTGTTTTTGGGACTGAGTCTCACTCTGTCTACCAGGCTAGAGTGCAGTGGTGCGATCTCGGCTCACTGCAACCTCTGCTTCCTGGGTTCCAGTGATTCTCCTGCCTCAGCCTCCTGAGTAGCTGGGATTATAGGCACAAAAATAGCTGACTAATTTTTGTGATTTCAGTAGAGATGGGGTTTCACCAAGCTGGTGGGTTACTCAGGCTGGTCTTGAACTCCTGGGCTCAAGCAGTTCACCCACCTCAGCCTCCCAAAATGCTGGGATTACAGGCATGAGCCACCACACCTGGCTGATTTTAAGGTTTCTTTTTTACATTGTGATTTCCTTAGATAGTTTATTTTTGCTTGCAACTCTTTTAACCTAAGTAAGGTAGTAAGGCTTAGAAATATAAATGACAGTAATAGGGGATTGCTTTATTAAAGAATTGCTCCATCTGCATTATATGTTAATCGAACTTTGCTTTGAAGACCGCTGTGGTCAGAAAATGCTGTCTCTCAAACTTTTCATTTCCTCCACGTATCTACAAAAATGTTTCTGGAAGTAATGTTTTTTATAATTAGAATTTTGAAAATGTTTGCTTTTATCAGAACAACTACATTGACAGATCAGTTGTAGGATCTGTACCCTTCCTCTAGCAGCCTTTATTGGATGGTGATGATAATTTCCATAAATATTTTATCTCTGAACCTGGTAGTGGTTGATGAACCTGACCCACAGTAGACTTATTTGGGTGTATCTCATTTACATAGCCTCAAATAATGAATAGTCCAGATTATTGTTTGCACCTTGATCTTTTCCTGTAGCCAAGTTTTTGTCTTTTGTTCTACTTGAAAAATTTCTTTTTAAGTCCTTGGAATGTATTTCTCTCTTAGATTAGTGCAGTATCTAAGAATTTCTCTCTACTGGGTTGTTGTCTTTGCTTCTTTTTATTGGTCTTGAGAAAAACTTTATTTGCTGCTACTTCTTAGGAAATGTTTATAGTAACTGGGAAAAATAAGATGAAAAAGCCTAATTAATATAAGGTGATGGTGATGGGATTTAAACCATAAAATTATCATTGACCCTTAGAATGTCAATTTGGATGCAGATGCTATTGTTTTATGAAGCAAATGGAGAAAAATCCAGATTTTAAGATCTCATAACTCTCTGACTTTTTAACACGTGAAAATAAAAATTAATTTTAAAAAGCCACACTTTTTTGCTATTTGTGAGTTAGGCAAACTTGGTAATACAGGAAGAGATGACAAAAATAGTTTCCGTTATATACTGCTTAGAACCACTTTTCACATAAAAATTTCAAAGCTTGGTATGAAAGAACATTTTTAGCTATTTTTCACTTTTTTTTCCCAATTATATTTGGTAATATATTTTGGATATAGCCTGTCCTGGTCTTTGCCATTTTTACCAATTTTGATTTTTCCCTTGCAAATGAGAGCCTTGTCCAGCCAACATGGAGAAGTACATTTCTAGGGACTACACCTGGCTCCCGGGTTGTTTGCTGAGGTCCTTTTTGTGTGGAAAGAATGGTTATTACCAGGGAAGGTTTTCCTTTTGTTTTACTTGCTATCCAGATGCTGCTCAGACTCTCGCTCTCGCACAGGATCACAGTATGGATATTCCAAGTCAAGACCAACTGAAGGTAAAATCACCACATGGTGACTTCTTTTGTTGTACAGAGTGGCCCCTTCTCTGTACCTATGGATCTTGAACTCCCAAGGCCTTTCCCTGAATGTGGTAAGAATTTAATAAGAAAGGTTCTTGGGAGTTCACAGACCAGGGACAGAGTGAACCTTCTCTGTTCTGCCCATAACAGAGTTCCAGTCTCTGAACCTTTCTTTGGGATGTAGCACTTCTGATCTTCAGTTCTTCCAGTTGCATTTTTCTTTGGGTTTGTGTGTACCTGTGTGTGTGTGTGTTTGAGGAAATTGCTTTATTAGATTTTAATAGACTTGTTGCAGTTAAGTTCATGTCAGGCCATTTTCTAAAGCTTCCCCAAATTTGGGGAAATTTTATAATCATCTTGGTATGTGGTGAGGGTTTCACATGTTTTCTGAATTATGCCTAATTTTGTAGTAGGCTTGCGGCTTTATACAGATAGCCTGTTTTTAACAGTAGATTTTGGCCTTTGTGCAGAGTTTTTTTTTCCCCCCAGGTTTGGGATTCTCCTAGCTTTGCTCACAGTGGGTTGAGGAGAGATGTTGCCTTTATTTGATGACTGTTGTGAACTCGAGTTCTCTTTCTTGTGTGTAACCCATTGTGTTTCACACTAACTGGTGAGCCAGAATGGAACTGCTACATCCCCTGGTCTCAGTTATTTCTACTGTACTGATGGACGACATCTTTCCCTTCTTTCAGCAAAGTGCAGCAGAAAGTTCCACTTCCAGGAGAAGAACTGCAGAAGATGATATCCCCACACTGCCTACCTCACAGCATAAATGTGTAAATTCTAGAAAAGGTATGTTTTGGATTAAGGGTATATAGACTTTTGTTCTCTTCCTCTTCCTTTTATCCTTTAAAAAATTTATTTTTATTTTTACTTTTTTTTGAAATGGAGTTTCTCTCTGTCGCCCAGTCTGGAGTGCAGTGGTGTGATCTCTGATCACTGGAACCTCTGCCTCCCGGGTTCAAGCAATTCTCCTGCCTCAGCCTCCCGAGTAGCTGGGATTACAGGCATATGTCACCACACTTGGCTAATTTCTTTTGTATTTTTAGTAGAGACAGGGTTTTGCCATATTGGCCAGGCTGGTCTTGAACTCCTGATCTTGTGATCCTCCTGCCTCAGCCTTCCATAGTGCTGGGATTACAGGCATAAACCATTGTCAGCCTTTTTTTTTTTTTTGGAGATAGAGTCTTGCTCTGTCGCCCAAGCTGGAGTGCAGTGGCGTGATCTCGGCTCACTGCAACCTCCGCCTCCCAGATTCAAGTGATTCTCCTGCCTCAGCCTCCTGAGTAGTTGGTATCACAGGCATGCGCCATAACCCTCGGCCAAATATTTTTTGTATTTTTAGTGGAGATGGGGTTTTGCCATATTGGCCAGGCTGGTCTTGAACTCCTGACCTTGTGATCTGCCTGCTTTGGCCTCCAAAAGTGCTGGGATTACAGGCATGAGCCACCGCACCCGGCCCACTTTTAAAAAAATCTTTTTATATGTGAAATAGGAGAGGCATATGTTGTAATTCCTCACTCTTCTTTGAAAACCTTTTTCATCAGCCTAGTTACTGCCGTTGTTAGCTTTGAAGAAGGTAGTGTTTTTTAGCAACCCATAAGTAGTAGGATGATGCAAGACCCTTCTCTTGGCTAGCATGCTTCTAGAAAATAGCTACATATTTATTGATTTGCCACCAGGTGGCTTTTCTATACACATGAATTCAGCTGCCTTAGACTTTTAAATCTTGGTATTCTTGTGTGTATATGATTTGGTTAGAATTTTTATTCTGATTTGTCTACTTGAGGCAAAGGCTAATTTTCATACTTTTTTTTTTTGAGACAAAGTCTCGCTCGGTTGCCCAGGCTGGAGTGCAGCAGTGTGATGATCTCAGCTCACTGCAACCTCCACTTCCCTGGTTCAACTGATTGTCATGCCTCAGCCTCCCAAGTAGCTGGGATTACAGGTGTGTGCCACTGTACCCGGCTATTTTTTGTATTTTATTAGAGATGGGGTTTCACCATGTTGGCCAGGCTAGTCTCAAACTCCTGACCTCAAATGATCCATGCTCTTCAGCCTCCTAAAGTGCTAGGATTACAGGCGCACACCACCACACCTGGCTAATTTTTGTATTTTTAGTAGAGACTGGGGTTTTGCCATATTGACCAGGCTGACCTCGAACTCCTGGCCTCAAATGATTCACCTTCGGCCTCCCAAAGTGCTGGGATTGCGCCTGGAGCAATTTTTATATGTTTTGAAGTTTGCGAAGATGACATAATATACGTAATCACAAAGCCAAGAAAGGATATAAGAAGCCTGGTATAAGTTGAGCATTCTAAATTTGAAATGCTCCAAAATCTGTAAACTTTTGAGTGCTCAAATGACACCATAGTACAAAATTTAATACCTGACCTCATGTGACAGGTTGCAGTGATAAAAACTCTTTCATACACAGAATTATTTAAAATATTATATAAAACTACCTTCAGGCTTGTGTACAAGGTATACATGAAACATAAATGAATTCCGTGTTTAAACTTGGGTCCCATTCCCAGGATATCTCATTACATATATGCAAATATTCCAAATCCAGAAAATTTTTTTGCCCTTGGATGGCAGTCACCAGGTCTTTGTCACTGCATTAGCTATGTTGTGGTCAGGCTAATGAGTTAATGCATATTTTCTCTAAAACTCCACTTTATAAAATACTTTCTAAAATTAGGGGGTTTTTTTTTTTGGCAAAGATGAATGAAATTGTAAATTCCTCAGAGTGGTTTTATGGCATGATGGCTTCTAGCCTAGGCATGCAGATCAATGGCAGGTTAAGCCTCTAGTTATGTCTGAGAAACTTTGGCTGCTGAAGTTACTTTAAAAGTTTAAATTAAATTTGAATAATTTTGTCATGCTGGATAGTTTTCTTTAAATCGCATTTGAGCATAAACTGAATTTTGGTCTACCTAGCTACTTTGTAACTATTCCAGTCTATGTGATATTAAATGTGTAATTTTACTCCTTTAATACAAATCCTTGTTTATTTTGTACTCAAAATGCAATTTTAAGATATGTAAGAACAGGGCTGGGCACTGTTAGATCCAGGCCAGGTATGATAGCTCGTGCCTGTAATCCCAGCACTTTGGGAAGACAAGGCAGGAGGACTGCTTGAGTTCAAGAATTTGAGACCAGTTTGAGTAACATAGCGAGACCTCATCTTTACAAAAAAATGAGCCTAGTGAAAAATTAGCTGGGCATGGTGGTGGTGCGTGCCTGTGCTCCCAGCTACCCAGGAGACTAAGATGGAAGGATCACTTAAGTCCAGGAGGTGGAAATTGCAGTGAGTGGAGGTTGCAGTGAGTCAGTATCATGCCACTGCCCTCCAGCCTGGTCGACAAAGTGGGCCTCTAGCTCAAAAAACAAGTTGAGAGGGCAAGGGCGGGCATAAGAACAACCAATTCAAGGGAGAGATATGTAGTTTGTGATGAAAATTTGGGAATAAATAACTTACTATTTTCAGGAAGGCCTGTAGGTAGAAAGGACAGAATTTTTATTTGTGGAATGACTGTTTTCATTTCCTTCATAAGTTGTAGAGCTTGAGTAGGGAAGAATAATTTTAATATGGCACCATCTCAAGAATTTGGTTTCTGATAATTTCAACGACCTGTAAGTGGAAACATAATTGAAGTTTCCCTGGCCACAGACAAGCCTTTTAGTCAGCATTATTGACATAACTCGTAAGTAAATAGGGTAACATTATGTTGTGGCAAGCACCCATGTATTGCAGAAATTCGTTCACCGTGTGTACTTCAGCACACATTAACTCCCATGGTTGTTGTGGGCAGACCTAATGTATTGGGAAGAGGCAGAAGAGAATGAGAAAGTAAGAAAGGAGCATTAGAGCGCAACAAAAGACTGGAATGTGGAAAAGAATATCATGGTAACAGACTTAAGTTATTAGCTGCCCTCAGTGTCATTCAGATACACAACATGAGATGTTTTACTTGAAATGATGTGGGGCCTTAATATTTGTGGTATGTCTGGATACTTAGCTCCAAGAGCCCATTGATCCAGCAAGGACATATGTAGGTGCTTGGACAACACAGGGTTTAGTGTTTTATAGTGGTTGTTATCTACTAAAACGTACACATTTTTGAGAAATGACTTAGAATATGTGGTGCCAGTGAGATTGCTTGGACAACCTTGTGATCCCCTCTTCTGGTTTGTATTGCCTTGCTTTGATCTTAAGGGTTATGCCACTATGTTACCATCATTTGCAGTGCCATGGATCAGACTATTACCAGGCACTGTGTACTAAAGCAAGTAATTCTATAGATCATACAATATTAGGAGTGTTTAAAATGCCAGTAAATGAACATTTAGAATTTTTTTTTTTTTTGAGATGGAGTTTTGCTTTCGTTGCCCAGGCTGGAGGGCCATGAAGAAATTCTTTTTTTTTTTTTTTTGAAACAGTTTTGCTTTTGTCGCCCAGGTTGGAGTGCAGTGGTGCGATCGTGGCTCACTGCAACCTCTGCCTCCCGGATTCAAGCGATTCTCCTGCCTCAGCACATGCCATCATGCCTGGCTAATTTTTTTGTGTATTTTTAGTAGATATGGGGTTTCACCATGTTGGTCAGGCTGGTCCCGAACTCCTGACATCCTTATCCGTCCACCTCGGCTTCCCAAAGTGCTGGAACTACAGGCATGAGCCACTGTGCCTGGCTCATTTAGAAATTCTTTTAGAATAAGGTCATTGTTCAGATGCTTTTAGAGTCGTTTTTTCTCCTATCTTCTCATAGAAGACAGTGCTTTTAGAATTTAGACTTTATAAACGATGATGTACTTATAGTGTCATCATTACTTACTAATGAAGCCTAAACAAGAGAGGAGATTTGAGCTCTGCCACTAAGATACTTGATTTCTGGTTCTTTCTTTCTTAGAATAGAAATTCCTTTTTACCTATTTTATAAAGAAGTTTTAAATATTCTAAAGATAGTCTTGGTTATTACGTGTTGTGTGCATAGTTATCGTCCTTTTCATTTGACTTCTATAGATGAAGACTTAATAGAAAATTTAACCCAAGATGAGACATCTAGGCTGGACCTTGGATTTGAGGAGTGGGATGTAGCTGGCCTGCCTTGGTGGTTTTTAGGAAACTTGAGAAACAACTATACACCTAGAAGTAGTGGCTCAACTGATTTACAGACAAATCAGGTAAATTTCACATTTGAAGGGGTGCAGGTTTTTTTTTTTTTCCTTTGAAAGGGTAACATTCTTGGTTACTCTCGACCATACATTATATTCTCTAAGAATTCTTATTTACTCCTGTGGCATTAAATACTATCTTCTGCATGTGACACCCAAATCTATATCTCTAGTCCTTATCTCTGCCCTAAATGCTCAGCTTCAGTTTTCAGATGCCTAATTAACTAACACCTCTACTTAAAGGATTTGACATTGAACAATTTCAAAATGGAACTTTTGGCTAGGCATAATGGCTAATATTGTAATCTCTAGAAGTCTCAGCCTGGAAGTCTCACTGGAAGGCCGAGACTGGAGGATTGCTTGAGCCCAGAAGTATAAGACCAGTCTCGGCAACATGGACTCCATCTTTACAAAAAATAAAAAATTTGCCAGGCATGGTGGCACACACCTGTAGTCCCAGCTACTTGGGAGGCTGAGACAGCAGAATCATGGAGCCTGGGAGGCTGAGGCTGCACTGAGCTATGATTGTGTCACTGCACTCCAGCCTGGGCAGTAGAGCAAGACCCTGTCATTCAGAGAGAGAGGGAGGAAGGAAAGGAGTGAGGGAAGGAAGGAGGGAGAGAGGATGGGAGGGAGGGAGGGAGGGAGGGGAAGAGGGAGGAAGGGAGCGAGAGAGGGAGGGAGGGAGGGAGGGAGAGAGGAATGGAGTGAGGGGAGGGAGGGAGAGAGGAGGAAGGGAGCGAGGGAGGGAGGGAGTGGGAGAGGGAGAAAGGGAGCTAGGGAGGAAGGGAGAGAAAGAGGAAGGGAGAGGGAAGGGGAGAGAGAGAGGAAGGGAGCGAGGGAGGGAGGGGGGAGAGAGGAGAAAGAAGAAAGGAACTTCCTTCTTTTTAGCCAAACATTCCTTCCCCAGCCTTTCCTCTTTCACAAATTTACCATCTACCCAATTATTCGAGCCACATATCAAGGAGACACTGATTTCTTTCTCTGTCAGAGACCACATTCAGATTACTAGCTCTTTATCCAAAACATATTCAAAATCTGACAAGTTTTTACTACTTTTGCTGTCATACCCTAATTCAAAACATTATCACTTTTCATATAGGCATTATAGCATCCTCATACCACATGGTCCACCTCTTTCTTATTCTTCTAGTAGTTTAGACTTGTCAAAGAGTGTATTTTTTAATGGATAAACCACATTGTTTCCAGTGGCTTCAGAAAACAAGTAGAATAAAAGCTGGACTTCCTGCTATAGTCATAACTGATTCAGTCTCCTTCTTCCTTACTTCTTGTCATTCTTCCTTGTTCACTACATGTGTTTTAGATATACCAGGCTCCTTTCTGACACTGTAGCCCAAAATTCCTTCCTTTCTCAGCCACCTTAAATTTGTTCTTTACTCTTTCTGAAACACCCTTCCCCTTTATTCTTTCTTTGCCTTCTCATGATTTAGGACTCGCCTCAAATGTAATTTCTTCAAAGAGGTCCTCCCTGACCACCAAGGCTATTATGTTATATAGTTCCAGTTGGATCCATTCACTTTTTGTTTTGGAGCTGTGTAGTAATAAGTGGTGGCCTGCAAAACCCATCCCTGGTTAAAATAGCCTCCTCTCTAGACACCCTTCTCTTTTATCCTCGTTTATTCTCTACAGCACTTTTCACTTTGTAAAAATATTGCTGTATTTTATGTATATATTATCTGTCACTGAAATGTAAGCCGAGGGCTTTTGTATTATTCACCACTCTTTTCCATTACCTAGTGCCTAGAACAGTACGTGGCACATAATAGGTATTCAGTGAGTATTTGTTTAATAAATGAATGAATGAGTATCTAACAGTGGCAAAATAAACTGTCTCTCATGAATGTTGTAGAAGAGCACGTCATGAAATATTCATAGATGAATGCAGAAAGTTTATATATTGAAAGGTGTTCAGGAGTTCAGAAAGTGTCAGGGCAAAAGGTTGGGTGACCAGTATTTCTCATATTTCTTTTTATGTATTTATTTTTCTGGGACAAGTGTTGAGAAATGTTAAGTTATTCATATTTCTTTAATAAGCATCCTTGACCATTTTAAGGGAAAGAATATGTCAGAACTAATGGAATGTTTTCTAGCTTCTTAGAGTGTCACCTGTAGAAGGGAATTTAGGGAATGTATTCTGTTTACTTGAGCTACTACAAGTCCTTACCTTTTCAACGCTTCAGTACTGTTTCTCAGGTGTTATACCTGATTTAGTATTAAAATAGAAAGTCCTTGCCTGGCGCCATTAAATCCATCTATTAGTTTATCCATAGTAGGTGTCAAGTAGATACCTGTTGAATGAATACATGTCCATTGAATAAAGGCAAGACATTCTCTGGCGATGCAGTGTTAAGACATTGAATTTTGGGTTCATTTGTGTTGTTTGAACATCTATGATAAACCTCTGAATACAGAACTCATTTTTCTTTTCTATTAGGATGTGGGTACTGCTGTTGTTTCAGATACTACAGATGACTTGTGGTTTTTGAATGAATCAGTATCAGAGCAGTTAGGTGTTGGAATAAAAGTTGAAGCTGCTGATACTGATCAAGCAAGTGAAGAAGTAGGGAAAATAAGTGACAAAAAGGTACGTTGTGGAAAAATTTCATGTTGATTCTGTTTGTGCACTCATGGTATGTAATCTGTTCAGAGCTCTGTGTATCTCTTTGTACAACAGATTGGTTACATAATCCCCTTTTTAGCTAACATTTTTCAATATTCAATTTTAAAATTAATATTAGTTAACTAGTGCTGCTTGGCTTCTACTTACTCAAAAGCATTAAGCTCCTCTTTTTTTTTTCCCTCTGCTTATAGCAACAAGCTACCTTTTTTTTTTCTCTCTTTGCTAACAAGCTAAGCTGCTGATTGAGCTAGTCCAATCTGCAGCCTGTGGACCACATGCGTCCCAGAACGGCTTTGAATCAACACAAATTCATAAACTTTCTTAAAACATTATGAGTTTTTTGCGATTTTTTTTTTCCCCCTTTTAGCTCATCAGCCATCATTGGTGTTAGTTTATTTTATGCGTGGCCCAAGACAATTCTTCCAGTGTGGCCCGGGGAAGCCAAAAGGTTGGACACCCGTGTTCTAAATGAACAGTAGCCTGTAGGAGACTTATTTCTTGGAAATCTTGATAGCTTCTATAATCATTTTATACCTAAATGGAAGGTATTTTTTATAGCTATTCTAGAGTTAAAATAGTAGAAAAGAGGGGAGTTAGAACTCTTGAGTACATATTATATGTACTCCTACATATGGTATGTACTCATATACAGATGAAGAGTCATACAGGCAGCTTTCTCAAGACTCCAAAGAAACTGGGGAGCAGATCCAGTGCCCAGCATGTAAAAGAGTGTCAGTAAACATCCATCAGATAAATACAGCAAAGAAAACCAGACCTAAATTGGGTCATCCTTTTTATTTGTTTAAGGAATTTTCATAGGAATTTTGAGTTCCTGAAGGATACCGTAGTATATTCGTTGTAGTCAGATAATGCCTGGGTTCTCTTAGACTAGTTATATAGGTAGCATTAGAAGGAATGCAGGTGGCTTGAATGAAGACAAAAGTGATATTTGGAACTTATTTATTTTTGAGATAGGATCTCCCTGTTTTGCCCAGTTTAATCTTAAACTCGGTAGCTCAAATGGTCCTTCCACTTCAGCCTCCCAGGTAGTTGGGATCACAGACATGGCCTAGGAGACTTTTTAGAGAGAGATAGGACTTAAAATACTTGACCTTTTGTGAGGTTGCTATACAGAGGTTCATAATTGTTTCATAATTGGTTTTATTCCATTTATTGGACTACAAAACTAGGGTTTAAAATAAAAAAATTTTTAAATTTAGAATACTCCTCACTTTTGAAATGGGCTTTTTGTTTCTGTTTCTATGGGACAGCCAGAGTATCACATAACTAGTTTTACTTTTGAATGTGAAAAGTAAAATTTAAAATACTTTGTTTCATTCTTCCTGTCTGCCTAGATAAAAATTTTCAAATTTGGAACTTTCCTACTCTGAAATTAATATTTATTTATTTATTTATTTTCGGGACAGAGTCTTGCTCTGTCACCAGCCTGGTGTGCAATGGTGCGATCTTGGCTCACTGTAACCTCTGCTTCCCAGGTTTATGCAATTCTCTTGCCTCAGCTTCCTGAATAGCTGGCTTTAACAGGAGTGCACCACCACACCCAGCTAATTTTTGTGTTTTTACTAGAGATGGGGTTTTACCTTGACCAGGATGGTGGTCTCTATCTTTTGACCTTGTGATTCGCCCACCTTGGCCTTCCAAAGTGCTGGGATTACTGGCGTGAGCTATTTATTTATTTTAAAATTGTTTTAGAGACAGGCTCTTATTCTGTCTCGCAGGCTGGAGTGCCATGGTGAGATCATAGCTTACTGAAAGCTGGAACTCTTGGACTCAAGTGATTCTATTGTCTCAGCCCCCAAGTAGCGGGGACTACAGGTGTGTATTACCACACCTGGCTAATTTTTTATATTTTGTGTAGAGACAGGGTCTCGCTCTGTTGCCTAGGCCAGTCTCAAACTCCTGGGCTCAAATTTTTGGGAGGTCTGGCCTTGACCTCCCAAAATGCTGAAATTATAGGCACCTGGCTATAAAATAGCCACCATGCCCAGATACTTAAAGTCATAAATATGGGCATCTTCTCTCTTCTGAATGCAGAATTTATTTGGTAACCCTTCTGGGTGCTTTTCTGTCTTTTGTGCTACTACTGAAATGCCAACTAGATGTACAGAATCATGTTTGGTCTTGCATTTAAGCTGTCTCCTTAAGTGCTAGTGATGGAAGCAGAATGTTCGTTTTAAATTGAAGCTATTGTCTTTTTTGATTCTAGGTAATCAGCCTTATCTAAAACAGGTAAACATTACTAATGAGACATTTTGCTTTTATAGGTGATTGAAGTGGGGAAAAATGATGAACTTGATGACTCTAAGTCCTTAAGTGATGATACGGATGTAGAAGTTACCTCTGAGGTATGAATCTCCAGTGAAAGCTATTTTGCACTAGCCCCATCTTCAGATGATATAATTCCAGCAGTTCACTTGTGTTGAAGACTGTTGTTGTTCCACCCCGCACCACCCATTTCTCTGTCCCTTGCCTAGTTGCTAAGTGATGTTGGTTTCTTTACATCTTGTAAGAGGTTTTTATTGCAACTTAAGGGAAGGGGATAATTTGATCTTATCCTCTCTCTTCCTTGAAAACCATGAGATTTATGCCTGTGTGTGCCTTTCTCCCTGCCATCAAATCTCTTTGGAGACACAAAGTTACACAAAATAGTCCTGTGCTGCTTTCCACGACTTAATACCTCTCTGTAATCTGATAGACCCATAGGCTATCTAAAAATTTTTGTTGAATATAAAAATAATATTGTAGGCCGGGCACTGTGGCTCACGCCTATGATCCCCGCACTTTGGGAGGCCGAGGTGGGTGGATCACAAGGTCAAGAGATGGAGACCATCCTGGTCAACAAGGTGAAACCCCGTCTCTACTAAAAATACAAAAGTTAGCTGGGCATGGTGGTGCGCACCCGTAGTCCCAGCTACTCGGGAGGCTGAGGCAGGAGAATTGCTTGAACCCAGGAGGCGGAGGTTGTGGTGAGCCGAGATTGTGCCGTTGTACTCCAGTCTGGGTAACAACAGCGAAACTCCGTCTCAAAAAAAATTTTTTTAAATAAAAATAATATTGTTTTCTTAAAAAGGAAATGGAAAACAGTTTAATTTCCACAGAGATTAATATTAACGGAGGACTATTAAAGAAGATTTGCTGTTCTGCTTTTGGGTTAATAGGTATGGATTGTCACTAGTTGATAACTCAAGGCTATACCCAAATGTATACCTTGCTTTTTACTTGCTGTTTCCCCGTGTTTGTTTTAGTCTTGCCGCAGGTAACACACTATGGAGAAAAGGTTGTTGGAAGAAGGATAAGAAGGAGATTTTACATTTTGCTGCTTGGTGGATAAACATTTTTAGGTTGTTTCTGTTGTTGATAGTTTCCCCCACTTGCACCACACCACTGTTAACCATTGTGGTAGTTCATTCCCAATTATCGATGTGTAGCTTAGTAATAAAGTGAACTATATTGGTCCAGTAAAAGTGTTCTTGACCATAATACAGATAACAGAGATAAATGTTTTCACATTAATCAGACTTTTGTGGCTATTTGGGCCCAGAAAACTGTTAAGCAAATGGATGCCATTGAATTTAATAAGCCCTATTATTTTACATACTATTAATAAAAAGTGATGCCAGTTAAACTATGGCACACCATCAGTCACAAATCCCAAATCTTTATGAAGTTCCTTTGATTATTTGTATAACATTTTAAATGAGATTGGAATATCTCAGACTGGCAAGAGTGTTTTGAGGCTGTCTGGAGTATATCCCAGTTTAACACATGGTTGTACCCCTGGCTTTCAGTCTGGACAATTGAATTATTTATGACTTCTAGACCCGAAGTGCTTAGCCTTTGACCTGAAAGTAATAAAGTTCAGCTTATGTCAAATTATTGATCCTGTCACAGCCAGGCAGTTAACCACATTAGTCTTACTTGTTCCTTGTAGTTATTTTTGAATTAAGCAAAGCATTTAAAATTCATTGAGGTCTAGTGTCTATCTCCTAATTTGGATATGGAGAAGTAGAGAAAAATTAGTTGGCATTCAAGGACAAGACCATTTATTTTTCAGAGAGCGTGATTTAGGCTTATAATTATACCTGTAATACTGCGTGCAATGAGAGTGCATGAGTAAATTTAGTAGTTTTCAAATCTCATTTGTTTTAGCTTTCTTTTTTGCCAGATTTTATGACATTTACTATTAGTGCAGAAAAGAATGACAGAGTTGTCTCTTCATTCTTCAGCCTCTCGCCTGATAAAGGGGTAAGTCGTACAAAGAAAAATAACCCCAAAGAAGGCCATAAGGTACAGTAAACAATGTATATTTCATCCAGACGAGGCAGAAAGCCAGAATAATTTAACTTTTCTTAAAGATAGCTATATCAGATTTTGGCTTGAAAATAGCAGTTGTGGCACTATCCGTGTAAGTAAAACTTCCAAAGGCTTTCCTTCACATGGCTGTAGAATTTGCTCAAATCCTAGGCTAGCTCACTGGTGTGGAATGTCTGGACTATCACTAGCTTAGTGAGAGGATATGAATGAATTTGACCTCCTTTCCTTTTTCTCAGCATCATATTCACCCCCTGACTATTAATTGGCTTCACTTGTCTTTGTAGAATGAGTGGCAGTGTACTGAATGCAAGAAGTTTAACTCTCCAAGCAAGAGGTACTGTTTTCGTTGTTGGGCCTTGAGGAAGGATTGGTATTCAGATTGTTCAAAGCTAACCCATTCTCTCTCCACATCTGACATCACTGCCATACCTGAAAAGGAAAATGAAGGAATTGATGTGCCTGATTGTCGAAGAACCATTTCGGCTCCTGTCGTTAGACCTAAAGATGTATATATAAAAAAAGAAAACTCCAAACTTTTTGATCCCTGCAACTCAGTGGAATTCTTGGATTTGGCTCACAGTTCTGAAAGCCAAGAGACCATCTCAAGCATGGGAGAACAGTTAGATAACCTTTCTGAACAGAGAACAGATACAGAAAATATGGAGGATTGCCAGAATCTTTTGAAGCCATGTAGCTTATGTGAGAAAAGACCACGAGATGGGAACATTATTCATGGGAGGACAGGCCATCTTGTCACTTGTTTTCACTGTGCCAGAAGACTAAAGAAGACTGGGGGTTCATGTCCTATTTGCAAGAAAGAGATTCAGCTGGTTATTAAGGTTTTTATAGCATAATGGTAGTACGAATATAAAAATTGCATTTATTCAGTTCACATCACATTATTTGGAGATCAATCCTTTATTTAATTTTATTTCCTACTTGTCTGTTAGAGAATGTTCTTAGATACTAAAATCCAAGGTAGCTGTGAGAAAGAAAATGGGCACCAACAATGAAAAACAGAAGTAATCTGATAAGTTAAATTATGAAGTGCTGTGGATTACTTTATGCTGCAGTCAGGGACATAGTTAAATGAACCCAAAAGAAAAACTCTTGAAAAACAAGAGATTTCTTCCATGCACATTTACAATATTGAGGTATAAGTAACATGATAAAGTGTTTCCTTCTAACAAGTTGTAAAAATCTAACCACCCCATAAAAGCAATAGAATGTTTCTGTCACCCTAAAATACTCCCTCCTGCCCCTTTTCAGACAGTCCTTTGACTATTTCATGGCTCTCACCCTAGATTAGTTTTCTTGTTGCACTTTTTTGGGGGGTTGTAGGGGAGGTGTGGGTGACAGGCAGGGTCTTGTTCTGTCTCCCAGGCTGAAGTGCAGTGCAGTGGTGTGATCATGGCTCACTGCAGTCTTGGTTCCTGGGCCTAAGTGGTCTTCCCACTTAAGCCTCCTGAATAGCCGAGACTAAAGACTACCATAACCACACTGGCTAATTTTTTTTTTTTTTTGTCATTAGAGGTCTTTTATTACAGAGGCCACTCTGCACTCCACAATTACTTACACAACTCCATCTTACTAAACTGTAGAATCTAACAGGGGGCTGGGCCTGGTGGCTCACGCCTGTAATCCCAGCCACTTTGGAAGGCTGAGGCAGGTGGATCATGAGGTCAGGAGTTCTAAGACCAGCCAGACCAACATGGTAAAACCTCATCTCTACTAAAAATACAAAAATTAGGCAGGCATGGTAGTATGTGCCTGTAATCCCAGCTACTCAGGAATACTTAGGAGGCTGAGGCAGGATAAATGGTTGAACCCAGGAGTCGGAGGTTGCAGTGAGCTGAGATCACACCAGTTGCACTCCAGCCTGGGCTGGAGTCTCAAAAAAAAAAAAAAAAAAAATTCAGGAACCTCACAGGTTTTAGATAACTGTCCTTGCATTGTTCTTCACACTGGGTCCCTGGTGTTGAATTGAAGCAACTCCTTCCAAGTTCCTTGCCCATTAATTAGCCAGGCCACTGTCCACATTGTCACAGACATTGTATTAACTGAAAACCTGGCCCATGCTGTAATCCATTAGGAGAATTTGTTTTTAATTAGATTAAATTCCAGTGTTAATGCAGAAAACCTGGTAGAGATTGAATTGCTATATGTAACTGTCTTAGTTCTCTTCTTCATATCATATTCTGACCATTTATCTTCTACACCTGGCTGACCTGCATGTTCTTGTAGTGCAACATCCACTTGGTGTTTACGCTTGGCTTTGTTTTCAGATTTAAATTTTGACATACGTTTTCAAACCTATCTAAGAAACAATGCTGATACTAAAATGGCTTCTGTAGAATAGGTTTGACAGATGTAAGTCTTTAATTCTTTGGCTTTGGTTTTTGTGCCTGTTAGAGTTTTTTTTTTTTTTTTTTTTTTTATAAGGAGTTTCGCTCTTGTTACCCAGGCTGGAGTGCAATGGCACGATCTCGGCTCACCGCAACCTCCGCCTCCTGGGATCAGGCAATTCTCCTGCCTCAGCCTCCTGAGTAGCTGGGATTACAGGCACGCTCCACAGTGCCCAGCTAATTTTTTGTATTTTTAGTAGAGATGGGATTTCACCATGCTGACCAGTATGGTCTCGATCTCTTGACCTCGTGATCCACCCGCCTCGGCCTCCCAAAGTGCTGGGATTACAGGCGTGAGCCACCGCGCCCGGCCCGCCTGTTACAGTTTTACACACATTCATTCAGAGGACATTACCATCAGTGTGTTACTTCTTTTTTCAAATTCCATTATGTTTTTAAAGACCCATATTTCACTAAGCCGTGTACTTGTTGAAACTGATGTGAGTGACTTTGTTTCCACACGTGATAGAGTATCAGATACTGGAGTTTGCCAGGGTAGAATGGTTGGATTCAGGAATGTTTAGCTGACTCATTGCAGGAAGTTATCCTGTAATCCCAGCTACTTAGAAGGCTGAGGTGAGAGGATCAGTTGAGTACAGGAGGCTACAGTGAGCTATGATCATGCCATTCCACACCTGCTTGGATGACAGAGGAGACCTGTTAATGAAAGGATAACGTTCTGAAAGAGCACTGGCTAATGTTTTCATGTTTTGTGGAGATGAAGTCTCACTGTGTTGGTCTCGGACTCCTGGGCTCAAACAGTCCTCACACCTCAGCCTTCCAAAGTGTTGAGATTATAGTCAGGAGCCACCTAGTCTGGCCCTTTTGCAAGACTTTAATCTGACATCTAAATTTTTAAAATTTAAGTACTTAAGAAGGATATACTATCCAACGTATTATTGCATGTTATGTATGTGCTTTAAATACTTTGTTTTTTTGAGAGACAGGGTCTCACTTTGTCATCCAAGCTGGCACTGAAGTCTCAACCTTCTGGGTTCAAGTGATCCTCCAACCTCAGCTTCCATCACACCCAGTTAATTAAAAAAATTTTTTTTTGTAGACTGCATCTCATTATGTTGCCCAGGCTGGTCTCTCGAACTCCTGGGTTTAAGTGGTTTCCCTGTCTCAGCCTCCCACAGTGTTGGGATTACTGCCGTGAGCCACTATGCTTGTCTTAAAGATACATATATATATATATTTTCCCTTACACACAAACCCTTGAGGATAGGCTTAAAGATATTTTTATGAAAGCCAATTCAGATAAACACACAAACATACTTCTCTGCATAGCCTTCAGAAGGATCAGGTTGTTTTTTTTTGGAGACAAGGTCTTTGTTGCCCAGGCTGGAGGGCATTGGCACAATCACAGCTCACTGCAGCCTTGAACTCCAAGATCAAGCAATCCTCCCACCTCAGCCTCCCAAGTAGCTGGGGCCATAGGTGCGTGCCACCATACCTAGCTGATTTTTGTGTTTTTTGTACAGATAGTGTTGTGCCATGTTGCCTAGGCTAGTCCCAAACTCAGGTTCAGGCAGCCCTTCTGCCTCAGCCTCGCGGGATTACAGTCCTGAGCTACCATCCCCCACCCTCTTTGCCTCTTTGGAGTTACCTAGATTTCTTTTTTGACCCCTTTGTTTAGTGCCTCTGGAGCTGCTTACACCAAGGCAGTGCCCCTTGGTATGATACTGGATGGTTGACAGGAAGGCGGTTTTTTTGTTGTTGTTGTTTTTGAGAATAAGGAGTATGGCTGTTGTGACAAGGGAATTAAAGAGAAATGGTAGATATGAAGAGGCCTCATCAGAGCACATGTTTTAGGACAATACATATGGAAATTGGAGGTCTTTAAGTTGGTTTTCATATAGAGATGCATGTGTCCTTACCCCATGGGAAAATGTTGGTGTATGCTCAAGGGTATGTATGTGTCATTTTGAAGACCAAGGCCCTAGAATTGTCAAACTTAAGGATCATAAAATTCACCTGGGTTGCTTGTTAAAGGTGCCTAAAGCCCAAGAGACTGATCCCTGAGACCTGGACCAGGAATTTGCATTTGAACAAGTATTCCTGGAATCTCTGCAAGTTTTATACAGAACATGCTTTTGGAATCCTTGCCCTAGACAGGCATGTCCAGTCTTTTGGCTTCCCTGGGCCACATTGGAAGAATTGTCTTGAACCACACACAAAATACACTAACACTAATAATAGCGGATAAGCTTTAAAAAAAAAAAAAAAAAAGCTTGTGATTTTGTTTTGTTTGTTGTTTTCTTTGGAGACAGTCTTGTTCTGTTGCCAGGCTGAAGTAGAATGGTGCTGTCTTGGCTTGCTGCAACCTCCACCTCCCAGGTTCAAGCGATTCTCTTGCCTCAACCTCCCGAGTAGCTGGGATTACAGGTGTCCACCACCACACCCGGCTCATTTTTGTATTTTTAGTAGAGACAGAGTTTCACCATGTTGGCCAGGCTGGTCTTGAACTCGACCTTAGGTGATCCAGCTGCCTCATGTCCCAAAGTGCTAGGATTACAGGCATGAGCCACCACACCTGGCCAGAAAATCTCAAAATGTTTTAAAAAGTTTACAAATTGTGTTGGGCTGCATTCAAAGCCGTCCTGGTCTGCCTGTGGCTCACAGTCCATAGTTTGGACAAGCTTGCCCTAGAAGGAAGAAGGGTTTCTCCTTTCTGCTTTTTTAGGTGCCATACAGAACAGGATTTCTTTATTACTGCATTTAGTTTTGAGAGAAGTTCTGTTAAAGTTACAGAATTTTAAAAGTGTCTTGCACTAGTATTCGACAACTCTTATTTTGCATGAGGCTAATAACAGCTAGGTGGTAGAGTTACTACTAGAATCCAAGTTATGAATACTATATCTTTAAAAAATACCTTCTCATTTTAAGTGGCGGTGGTTATTGAATTTGGGACAACTAATCTTAAAATGTAGATCTAAATACATGGTTTTAGGAAAATGATTTGCGGCCAAAATGAGGCTTGAGAGAGAACAGTGACTTATAACACTTTCTCCCAAAAGGGAAGGACCCAGTAAATGTCAGGCATTTTTTTTTTTTAATCTAGGTTCTGGGGTACATGTGCAGGTCATGCAGGGTTGTTGCATAGGTGCATACATAACAAGGTGGTTTGCTGCCTCTGTTCCCCCTTTGACTATATCCGGCATTTCTCCCCATTTTATCCCTCCCCACCCCCAGGCTTTCTTATTAATCAGAAAACTACCCCCAGTATCAGGACAAGTAAAAGTGGCAGACCTGAACCATTTTCTTCATAAGTGCTCTTTACTCAAGAATGAAGCTCAAATCTCTGTCTCTCTAGGAATTAGGGGTGAGACTTTTTCCCCCAATAAGTAGAGCCACAGTTCTTTGGGTTAAATGTTTTATTAGGCCATGGCTAGCACTCTCAAACTTCAGAAAGTGAATTTTCTCCCTATTCCTGCCTCCCACCAAATGCTCTCTTTATAGTGGTTGATAGCCAGTTGCTTTTGCAAGTGATAAACTGGAGGCACGGACAATTGGGGACCTGTGCTTGTGCCATCTGATCCTTTACATGAGTTATAATTTTTAATAAAACTTAAGAACTAAGCATTTTACCTAAGTTTTTAGATATTTGATTCCAAATTTGACACATCATTGCCCAGGAAAGAATTCTTTTATGCTGCTTAACTTTAATCCTCTTCCTGCATGCTCACCTGGGTTTTCCTTTTTTTTTTTTTTTTTGAGTTGGAGTTTTCGCTTTTGTCGCCCAGGTTGTAGTGCAATGGAGCCATCTCGGCTCACTGCATTCTCCACGTCCTGGGTTCAAATGATTCTCCTGCGTCAGCCTCCTGAGTATGTGGGATTACAGGTGTGTACCACCATGTTGGGCTAATTTTGTATTTTTAGTAGAGGTGTTTCACCATGTTGGTCAGGCTGGTCTCTAACTCCTGACCTTAGATAATCTACCCACCTCGGCCTCCCACAGTGATGGGATTATAGGCATGAGCCACTGTACCCAGCCTAAATTATTTTCTTGATCTGTGTTTGATTTTGTTCTTTTTTTCCTTGCCACTGCGGTACAGATTTTTTTACTCACTATCACTAAACTAGAGCAATATATAGTTTATGTGTGAAGTGTTCAGAGTTTACTGCTATAAGGAAACTTCCAAATACTGATATTCATCTTTTATGTGTAGTTATTGGGACCATGTGCTCTGGTTTTCTGGAGACTGCCAGTTTGCTCCCATTTTTCTGCATCCCACCTGAGATGGAAAGGGGAGTTTGTTTCCATCTCTCCCCTTTCACGTTCAGGTGTCTTCATTTGGTTGTTAAATTATATGGTCACCTAGTTATGGGTAAGCCATGGTCAAGTTAAAATCTCAACTGTGAGCAAGGATCTGTGTCAGTGGAGCTCATTTTTTCTGCTGCATCATGCCATAGACTTGAATAATCATACCCCATTACCATCCGATTTCTTGTAGTTGTCATTTAAATTAAATTTAAGATTGTTATCTTGGGCAAAAAGTTCAGCGCAGAGATGGCAAATCATTAGAACCACGATGAATTTCAGTATTACAGCTAAAAAGGTCTGTCTCAGTATTAACTCACTCACTCTCTCTTGCAATGTGCAACAGTAATTGGTATGCTTTTGTATTTAATGCTTAAATCAGACTTTATAAAAATCTTAGACCAAGCCTTTAATATGGTTTGCCATTTCTCCAGTCTGTCTACGGAATATTATGGATTTCTAATCCTAGGCATGGACAATGGATTGGAGTTGAGCCACGCCAGCCTCCACACTGCCACTAACTTGTGTAATGTAAGACTGAGTCACTGCCAAGCATTGGAAATACATGGTTGTGTTTTAATTATAATTTATGTATAGTTAGATGTATGTAATGCATTGCATGGTATTATTTGGTTTGTAAGAATTTATTTTAAGGGTCAAGGACATTTGTAACATTTTTTTGTGTGTCAATTCAATGCAGTGTTGGCTCCCTTGAAAAGTCATTAATGAATTTTTGGTGAATGTTCTATTCTGTAATACAAAGTTATGTAATGTTACCTCTTGACTCGCTTTTGAAAGGAAGACAATTGTTAACCAGACATTTGTTTTTTCTCTGCAGAATTATATGAATTTCTGATATATGGCTTTAGATACTGTGAATGTTTGTCATTTAGTCAGTCATCTGCTTAAATTGTTTACTTATATCCTAAGGGGCAATTTATTTTGATCGTTCTCCCACTCAAGTGCACATATGTGCAAGCACATTTCGATTCTGATGCTACCTTTGCTACATCTAGATGGCCATAGATAAGGAACTAGCTATGTTTTTAGAATCTGCACTTCAAAGATAAAGGAACCAGTAAGCTCTCTCGTATGCTAAACGAGAAATGTACAGTATTTACAAATGTCTGGAATTTTGCACTGCCATAGGGAATGTTAAGGTTACTTGGCTAGAATTTATGAGACTTGTGAGTAGACAAGTTGAAGCTTAGCAGATGAGGGGAAATATTGAGGCCCCTAAGACTAAACTGAACATAATCAGTGTCTGAGATAGTGGCTGAAGTGGCTCCCCAGGCCTAATTTGGGAACCGTTTTTCCTGATTGCTTTGACAAAACCTTTCATTTTGCTTGTCGTTGCTATATTCTCCCTTTATAGGAGCCACCAGATTTCTTCCCTGTTGTGGGAAATGTCCCATTAGCATTTTCAGATCTTTTGATGTGCACTAATGCCATTATTGGTAACGCTGTTATTGGTGAATATAGCATAGTTAAATAAACTTACAGTAAACCTACACTTGGATTTATTGCACCTCTATCAATAGCCTTTTGGATGACAAAGTGTTATAGAGAAAGAGGCATGTCTGCAGAAAGAGGTAGCTAATATTTTTTGGTACTTTATCTGAAATCCAAGATGCTGCTTCCCCTGTAGGTGGTTTTCCCTTTTAGGATTAATCCCCTCTGGGAGCACAGGACAGTTAGTAGAACTCCTCATTTCTTAAGGTGGAGAGGGTCATGGATACCTAAAAAAGGGTCAAATAATGCTAGAAGAGCAATTCCTCTTTCAGAGCAGTTGCTGTAATTTGGCTAATGCTTTATTGAAAGTTGACATTAGGCTGAGGGCGGTGGCTCATGCCTAATTTAATCCCAGCACTTTGGAAGGTGGGTGGATTGCTTGAGCTCAGGAGTTGGAGACTGGGTGTGGTGGCATGTGCCTGTAGTCCAAGCTACCTGGGAGGCTGAGACGGGAGAATCTCTTGAACCAGGGAGGGCGGAGGTTGCTGTGAGCCAAGACTATATCACTGCACTACTCTCTGGGCAGCAGAGCAACACTCCCGTCTCAAAGAGAAAATTGACATTTATCATTATAACACCTAATGAGTCCCTAATTTCTTACCTGAAGCCATTGTTTTTTAAAAGGGTTAAGTACTGATTTCAGCAGACAAATATTTCTGATCAGATAGTCACTATCAACAGAGTAGCAAATGTGGTTTCATAAAGTAGGAAGAAAACAGCATTTTAAAATAACTTAGGGAGACTGATTTGAGTAATAAAACTACAGTCTCCCTTAAACAAAACCCTTTCTTCCACCTTTACTGTATCTTATATCCCCTTAGTTCAAAGTTATTACCTATTTCTTGATACTGCTTTTGTACCAAAGACCCTTATCAGCCCTTGTAACTACAGTATCTTTAGATAGGATTCTTCTTTCCAGTCAGTCCTGGGAAATGTTTCTGTTGCAGTTAGGTGGTAGATGGGAAGCCATTATGGCAGAGCTACTATCTAATAAAGTAACAATTTGTAGTTGAGGCTTCCAAAGCATGTGATGGGGGATAGGGGAGTTAGCTTCCCTGTTGTCTCAGCACTAAGAATTGAGGTCAGGCCAGGCACGGTGGCTCACTCCTCTTATCCCAGCACTTAGATGGCCAAAGTGGGCAAATTGCTTGAGCTCAGGAGTTCGAGACCAACCTAGGCAACATAATGAAACCCTGTCTCTACCAAACACAAAAAATAGCTGGGCATGGTGGTGCACACCTGTTGTCCCAGCTACTCAGGAGGCTGAGGTGGGAGGATTGCTTAATCCTGGGAGGTGGAGTTTGCAGTCAGCTGAGATGACACCACTGGAATCCAAGGTGGGTGACAGACACCCTGTCTCAAAAAAAGAAATTGAGGTCAGACTTCCTTCTTACAGAATTACTTCTTTTCTCTGTGGTTAGCCTCATTTTTTCACTTCCTTCTCAATAAGAATCAAAATGTTTCTTTGAGGTTTTTTTCTTCCCCCTTTTAAAACCAACAGAAAATGTTTCAAAGGAGGGATGAAATGCTCGTTGGCTTCCTCAGCACTTGGCAAGGTAGACCTCAGCCACCTCTGAGTATGACTTTCTGCAGTCTCTAGCTGTGCACTATTAAGTGCCTCTTGGGTGGAGGTAGAGTAAGTATTGGGTGCCAGTCTTGACCTTCGTCTGCCTCAGTTTTTCTCATCTGTAAAAGTCAGTATACATACCTACCCTTCTACCTCATAGTTTGTTGGGGGAATTAAACATGGGGGAGCAACTTTGAAGTCTATTAATTTCCTGGAAGAGATATAAAAGCCTATTATGCTCTTGGTTGGTGTCCCAAGCTCTGGGTTACATATTCAGAATGCCTCATGTTATGGAGGCTGAGCACAAGCTCTCCTGTATGCCTCCCTGGCAGAGCTCGTCTTGCTTACTGTAAGCCCTTTTACCCATGCTTCTAGTTTAGATATCCTTTCCTGAAAATGAGGCTGTTGACTAGAAAAGAGTTTTTCCGTGGGTGTTCTGAGACAAGTTTGTAAATTTGGATGGCACTTCTATCCTGATAAAACTGCCTTGCTGTGGTCTTGATGTACAAAAAATCTTTTTTGAGGGGTGTGGGGACAGTGTCTCACTCTGTCGCCAAGGCTGGAGTACAGTGGCGCAATCTTGGCTCACTGCAACTTCTGCCTCTCAAGTTCAAGTGATTCTCCTGCCTCAGCCTCCCAAGTAGCTGGGACTACAGGTGCCCGCCACCACGCCCAGCTAATTTTTGTATTTTAGTAGAGACTGGGTTTCACCATGTTGGCCAGGCTGGTCTCAAACTCCTGACCTCAGGTGATCCGCCCACTTTGGCCTTATATTGGGATTACAGGCGTGAGCCACTGTACCCGGCCCAAAAAGTTTCTACATACACTTGGGTAGGTGGCATAAAACACACTGCCAATTATATAGAAAACATGCCATTTTCCAAATATTTCTGATTAGAGTCACAAGAGTAGCAAATGTGGTTTCTTAAAGTGGGAAGAAAGCGGCAATTTAAAGTCACTTTTTGGGAGACTGAATTGAGTAATAATAAAACTCCAGTTTCCAGCAAAATAAATAAATAACCTTTTGAATGTGACCAGCTCACTAAGGAAAGAGAGAGGCATTTTCAGCATTCTTGCCTAGTTTTCTGTATAAGCACCACTAAAGTAATAGCTCTGTATCTCTTTGATGTTTGCACTATGTAATGCTTTTTATACTTTTAAAATTGTGCTTTTTTTGTGTATTAAATGTGTTTCCATTTGCCACTGTGTGTTGTCATTATTTGTGAAATAGGTAATTTTGTGTGTACAGTTAAATCTCATTGCTGTTACATGTTTTAATCTGATACAACAGACCAAAGATAGGAAATTACTTCTGTTCCTTTTTGGGGGAAGTTAATGCACTTAAAATGATCAGCTTTGGATATTTTCTCCCAGTTACCTTTTAGAGCAACTGCTGTATTTTATTTCAGGGTCCCAATCCTGAAGAAATCCATCAAATTTTACAGTGTTTTCTAACATCGAGTTTGTGATTTTGAATTGGGGTCAGTACGAGAGGTACTGAGGGTTTGTCACGCTATATGCATTAATCATTTGTATGCCTGCATCTGCTAGGGTCTTTAGCAGTGGTTCTTAAACTTTTGGGGATTATAGTCCTCCTTGAAAAGCTAATGAAACTCATGAAACCTCCTCTTATAAATAGCACAATATTAAACATCAATATCAGGGCTTCATTGAAGCCACTGGTCCATGACCCTTGGGTTCTGTTCTTTGGAGGGCTATCAGAGAAGAGTGAATGGCCCGCAGAGAGCTTGGTAGTACATATGCCTTTCAAAAGTTCATTCACTTAGACCTAAAGCCATTACGGTGTGTGAAACATCCAGCTTGTTGTCCTCAGCTTGAGTGGGGGCAGGATTACCATATAGTTGGTGCAGACTGGTGTGAACTGTGTGATTTTTTGGGCACTGAAGGCAGCCACATAAATGATACCCTTTAGAGATGTGTAATATATATCTGAGGAGGCCTTTGGGATGGGGTGGGGTGACAGTGGATATACCATGGTAACTTTTTTTTTTTTGAGACAGGTTCACATTCTGTTACCCAGGCTGAAGTTCAATGGCAAGATCACAGTTCACTGCTGCCTTGACCTGGCTGAAGCCATCCACCCACCTCAGCCTCCCGAGTAGCTGAGACCACTGGCATGCACCACCACGCTTGCCTACGTTTTTTGTGTTTTTGAAGAGATAAGAGTTTTGCCATGTTGTCCAGGCTGGTCTCAAACTCCTGGTCTCAAGTGATCACCCACCTCAGCCTCCCAAAGTGTTATGTTTATAGGCGCGAGCCACCATACTGGGCCCCCAGGGTAACATTTTAAAAATGAAAACAAGGGGCATTAGAAACAATAATGAGGCCAGCTCCTCTGTCTACTTCAGGCTTTTCACGTTTTGTATGTGACCTCACGTGTTTCCTGGGATTTTGCATCCTGCTCACCTTGAGTTCCTTGTGCTGTAGAAGTATCATCTTTGATACTAGAGGAAGAAGGTAAGCTGAAACTGTAACTGAGCTTACAGAGTACTGCAGTTTTGGAGACAGGGTCTTGCTTTGTTCCCCAGGCTGTAGTGCAGTGATGCAATCACGACTCACTACAGCCTCAGCATTTTAGTGATTCTCCTCCTCAGCCTCCTGAGAAGTTGTGACAACAAGCTCATGCCACCACACCTGGCTAATTAAAAAAATATTTTGGGGGGGCGGATGCAGTCTTACCATGTTTTTCATGTTTGTCTAGAACTCCTGGGCTCAAGTGATCCTCCCACCTCAGGCTACCAAAATGTTGTTTTTGCCAGACACAAACTATTGTTAGTAGATAAATTTCAGTATTTGTTTTGAGGGTTTGGGTTTTCTTTTGTTTTTGCTGGAGTTACACAAGTCCAACATACAAAGGTATGAAAAGAGTTATTGCTATTAGGAAAAATTTAAATCATTACAGGTTTGGGTATACAGAGACAACCTTGTGATGTACATCCCCAGCCCTGAATTCATTTGATTAATCCTCTTTAAAATAAAGGATTGGCCGGGCGCGGTGGCTCAAGCCTGTAATCCCAGCACTTTGGGAGGCCGAGGCGGGTGGATCACGAGGTCAAGAGATCGAGACCATCCTCGTCATCATGGTGAAACTCCCATCTCCACTAAAAATACAAAAAATCAGCTGGGCATGGTGGCGCGTGCCTGTAATCCCAGCTACTCAGGAGGCTGAGGCAGGAGAATTGCCTGAACCTAGGAGGCGGAGGTTGTGGTGAGCCGAGATCGCGCCATTGCACTCCAGCCTGGGTAACAACAGCGAAACTCCGTCACAAAATAAAATAAAATAAAATAAAATAAAATAAAATAAAGGATTAAATTCATTCAGTATGTTAAAAACTTTAGCCGAATTAAATTTGAAGGAGTTTAACTGAGCGATGAACGATTCACAAATTGGGTAGCCCCTATAATCACAGCAGATTCAGAGAGACTCCAGGGATGCCGCATGGTCTACAAATTTATAGACAAAACGAAGGAAGTGATGTAAAGAAATAGGGTGAGGTACAGAAACAGCTGGACTGGTTACAGGTCGGCATTTGCCTTATTTGAACACAGTTTGAACACCCAGCAGTGTATGACTGGTTGAAGTATGGCTGCTGGGATTGGCCAACACTCAGCTGTTGTTACAGGCACATACTCCTAAATTAGGTTTTCAATCTCATCTGCCTATTAGGTTAGGTTAGAGTTCATCCACAGGGACCCAAATACAGAAGTTCGGAGTCCTCAGGCCATATTTAGTTTGCTTTAACAAATACTTACTGAATGTTAATATAAGCCAGAGACTGGTTGGTACTGAGAATACAACAGTAAGGAAGCTGCTCTCAAGTTGCCTATGGCCCAACAATGGAGTTAGATGCTTAAAAGACAGTTTCCACATGAGCCAAGGAAGCCGTAGCTGAAAGAACTATAAAGGGGAGAGAATGGCTTTTGAGGGGAACTTTTTTTTTTTTTTGAGACGGAGTCTTGCTCTGTCACCCAGGCTGGAGTGCAATGGTGCAATCTTGGCTCACTGCAACCTCCTCCTCCCAGGTTCAAGTGATTCTCCTGGCCCAGTCTCCCAAGTAGCTGGGATTACCGGTGCCCGCCACCATGCCCGGCTAATTTTTGTATTGTTAGTTGAGACTGGGTTTCGCCATGTTGGCCAGGCTGGTCTGGAACTCCTGACCTCAGGTGATCCACCCGCCTCAGCCTCCCACAGTGCTGGGATTACAGGCGTGAGCCACTGCGCCAGGCAATGTGGGGAAATCTTAAGTGTTTCATGTGCCTGGAGCAAATGATGTGATAGGAAAAGTGATGAGAGATGGAGCTGGGATGGGAAGGGGGCCAGGTGGTGAACGTGTGATATGGCAATCTAGTAGGTTTGAATGTTATCCTGAAGGCAGTGGAGAGCCAGGAAGCTCTTAAGCAGGAGAGTGGCATCATCTCATCTGCATTTTTGAAAGATCCTTCTGGCCGCATTGGTGAGGGTAGACTGGAGTGCTGTTTAGAGCAGGGACAACAGAAAGGCCATGGGAGCAATCTGGGCTGAAGTGATACGCCTACAGTCATGGCAGTGGGCCGGGTGAGAATAGTAATAGATGCATTATTACAATAGAACACTTAGTAGGTGCGGACTTGGTATTTGTTATTTCATGGGGTATTTAGGCTCAGAGATGTTAAATAGCCTGTCAAAGGCAATTCAGAATCGCAGATAGGCATTGGTTAAACCCAGTGTGTTTGAGACAAAAGCCTAAAAGAAGTGCAAGGATTTGAGAGAAATCAAGGTAGAAGAGACAGACTTCATGACAATGCGTGCACTTTAAACAGTGTTTACAGTGACCATTGTTTTTAGGAAACAAAAAGATGAATAAATGTGGTTTGAGGGAAGTAGGGAGTCAAGGGTGACTGGGTAACTGGTGGATGGTGGTGCCATTCATTGAGATGAAGAATATAAGGCCAGGAGTGGTGGTTCACACCTGTAATCCCAGCACTTTGGGAGGCTGAGGCAGGCAGATCACTTGAGGTCAGGAGTTCGAGACCAGCCTGGCCAACATGGTGAAACCCCATCTCTATTAAAAATACAAAAATTAGCCAGGTGTGGTGGCACAAGCCTATCGTTCCAGCTACTTGGGAGGCTGAGGCAGGAGAATCGCTTGAACCCAGGAGGCAGAGATTGCAGTGAGTCGAGATTGTGCCACTGTACTCCAGCCTGGGTGACAGAGCAACACTCTGTCTTAAAAAAAAACAACAACAAAAAAAGACTAAAGGTAGAAGAGTAGGTTTTTGATGATGGTGGTGAGATAGGAAAAAACATGTTTAGTTTTGGTTGTGCTGAGTTTGTGCATATGAGAACATTCAAATGGAAGTGGAGGTCAGGAGACACCTGAGCTGTAAATATTAAGTACATGTCATGTATCTTGTATTGTGTAGGCACTGGGGGATACTGTGATGAAGATGAACATGGTTCCTGTTCTCCTGTTCAGGGAAACTGGTTAAGCATGTAAATATTAGCATAGTGAATGTTTTGTTGTGAGACTACATGCTGCTATGAGAAATAGCAGAAGGGGGACCTGATGTAGTCAAGAGCTTCTGAACAACCTCCTGGAAGGGATGAGCTGAGATCTAAAGGAAGGCTAGGAGTTAGAGGAAGGGAAAAGTGCCATAGTTAGGAGGAAGCATCCCAGGGTCTTTAGGTGAGAAAACAGTGGCATCTGGGAAGAACTGGAAAGTTTCGTGTCGCTGAAAGCATGGACAGAGAGAGCTGAATACAGCAGAGATGGTGGTTGGGCTAAGAGTTTGAAGAGAGTGGAGCAGGTCTGGAATAGGTACTCTGGAGAATAGGGGAGAGAACAGAGTAGGAAAATCTCCGCAAGACAACTGCCTGAGACTGTACAATTTTAGGTCAGGGTTTTTCAGTCTCAGGACTGTTGACATTTTGGATTGAAGAATTCTCCATGGGGGTCTGTTCTGTGTGTTGCAAGACGTTCAGCAGCATCCTTGCCTCTGCTCACTAGAAGCCAGTAGCACTCCCCTAATTATGACAATAAAAAGTTTCCCCAGACATTGGCAAATGTCACTTAGTGGGAAAATGGCCCCTGGTTGAGAACCACCGAGGCCAGCCAATGAGCAGGTGAAATATCACACAACCTGAAGATGGGTGTTACTGCACGTTTACAGCCCTGAGCTGGCCTCTAAATTCTGTCTGGTTC